TGGGTATAACTTGAAAAGTCCTCAATAAAAGTATATTTTTCATAGAGCAAGAAAGGTGTGGGGTCTCAGATCCTTGTATAAATAGGACCTCTGTTTATTTCTTTGGGATAGTGTTACTAGGCATGAGAAGTACCTTGTGAAATATTTTCAGCCCCAATTCACCAAGAAAAATGTCAAGGATTGGTCCAGAATGATTGCTCTATGCAAAATTGGAATTCCAGGAGCTGTGCAAGCATACACAATGCACCTGATTTACAGATCAAGGTACATTTATTGTTTTTCCAGGCATTTCATCTGTATCCCTTTTTATTTCATAGTCTACAGTATATATAGGAGAGCTTGTACTATAGTTACCCATCTGTTTGCCTTTGCAACCTACAGAGACAACCGGAATTCTATTCCCCATTTTGTCTTGATCATGCAAAGAGTCTAGCTTGCTGATTTGATTTCAACAAAAGGATCCCATCCAGAATAGGCCTGAGTGTGACATCTCGGGTCCAGTTCAAATACAGCCAAATACAATTATAAAAAATTCATGCTGCAAAGCATTATGCAAAGCACTGTAAATGGATTTTCAATTAACCAAATGGAGAAAGTGACAGCACCAATGTTAAAGAGTCACGGCTGCAGTTGGCACATGCTCCACCTTAAAAATTGAGTGTCCTAGAAGTTGTTCACTTTCCACCTCAAACTTTAATCCCAAAAAGGGAAGCTGCCTTATTTTTAGAAACACGCCATCCTCAGTGATTTTGTCAAAGTCAAGTCAAAGTCCTGTCACTCAGCACTGCGCTTATTTGAATACAATCTATCTTATGCTTCCTTTCAGTCTTTAAAAGGTGGAGAGAAGAGGGACAAGCATTTCAAGCAGAAATTAGAGTATTCTGCTGCAACTACTTAATGCACACACAATGTATCTTTAATGAAAATATGAGGACTGTTGACATCGCCTTGGGACCATGATATAGAAAGCTAGAAAACACACCTGCAGTGATCATACAGCTGCTCTACTCAAGCTCGCCCTTCAATTCAGCATTCCACAAGCTGCTTCTCTTTGCTCTACATTTCCTCAGGCTCACTGCTGCTTGAGACCCACTGCTAAGGCAAAATGTCACTTGTGCTCTGTCATCCTTCCAAGGACTTCATTCTATCAGGTGGCATGGTATGGCGGGCTAATGTTTTCATATTGGAGGCAGTGGGTTCTTGTTGGGGGGGGGCAAGTATGTTGATTTGTTGTATTATGCCTCTGGGCCTGAAAGAATGTCTGTTAGTAATAGTGATTCATATAGGAAAGACAGAAAATACCTTTATGAGGGAGGTTGTACATGGATGAGGCTGGCAAGCTCCTGTAAGTAGTTGTTGTTGAGTCAGAACCTTGGAGGGCCACAGTGAGCATGAAATCATGACACCAAACATCAGTTTGTTTGGTTTATTCCTAAAAATGGGTGGCTTCCTGTTTTGGGATTAGAGTTTGAGGCAGAATCTCAAAAGTGCATCCTAGGGGTTAGGACTATGACAAGGTGTAATCAATCTGATTCCTGGGCCGTTTGGATCCTTGAATTACAAATTCATCTGTGGCACTTATCGGAGGGGTTGAAAGTCTCCACACTGGTTTAGTTTATCCCCATGTGAGTTGGATTCTGGGACACCGCTTGTCCTTTACTAACTGAAATGAAGAGATTAGAACATGACAGCTTGGAGTGAACTGCTCAGGACTTCAACAAATTAAATCATTTGTGCTCAATCCAATCATTGAGCTGTTTAGAATCAGAGGACAGTTCGCAACCAGCTTCAAGGCACCTTACAGGCCTCCACAACAGCAGCACTGGCAGTTCAACTTGTGCTTAGGTGTGTCAAATTTTATTGCATTCATATAAAACAGAGAAGTGAGCAGCACAGGACATAGGGACTGTCATGGATACACCCAGGTATTAACCGTACCCGATCCACGGATTTTCCCACCCACAGATCAGATAAGGCACATTACGAATATATCCGTGGGTAAAACGGCCTGAGTGGCTGAGGACGTAGCTTCAGTTATATATCTTGTTCATTTCTTGTCTGTTCTTTACAAAAAAAAATTGTGTTATGAAGCGAAAATTCAGAAGAATTCATATTAAAACAAAAGTCATTCATATATGATCTAGATTGAGTACAGTAAAACTAAAGTTATTTATATATCATAATCTGAGGTCTTTCCCTTTATATAATGCTGCTGTAACTGAGCCTTGATCACAGAGTGTGTTTTGGGGTGTGTATTAGCATGCCTTGGCCATCTTGAGAGTATTTATTTTCAGTTTCAGAGAAATGCCTTTGAGAACAATTGATATTTATGTAGAGGTATTGAAAGAACAATTTTGGTGACATAAAGTGTTACAAAAAGAAATCATTGTCCATCTTTTTTTCAATCATTTGCATAACTTTATTGAAGCCTGGGTAGAGGGGGGATTTAATCCAGGATCTGAGAGCCATTTCTGCTCTGAATGTTTGAGAGTTAATATTGTGCTGGGTGAAATTGATCTGACGGTGGCCAGTGGAAAATGCTCGCTCTGCATCCACAGAAGTAGCTGCAACAATTGTTGAAAATAAAGGAACATAAGTGTGAATAATGGTGCTTACCTGGGGCTGAGCAGAAATCAGAACCCATTCATGAGAGTTGTGGTCAGGACTGTGATGCATTGTGCCAGTACATCATATAACCTCCCATTTCCTTGATTGTTTCCGTTGCTACCCTGGGTTCATCAAGGTAAGCCTGAATGTGGTCCTTGACAAACTGATTTTCTTTTGGTGCATATTGTGATTGCTTTGGCTAAAAATTGAATTCAATAACAGGATTTCAAAGATATTTTTACCAATTACCTTGTTTTCCTCCCCTCTTAGCTCATTCTCCTCTTCACCTGCATATACACTGTCTCAGTAATCACATACTATACTTTTTATAGACTTGATTTGTTGGATGTCATGACCATGGTCTTGAAACCATTTGACACTTGAGACAGTGACAAATATGTAGGGCTACATATGTAGAAACATATGCTCTCAAAACTGCAGGATACACTTTAATCTCTTTTGTTCTGATATATTTGCTCTCAATTTCTAAGTTTGGTGATGGAATTGTACATCCATCATATGCATAAAACAAACTTACAATAAAAAAAGGGATCAGATCCAAAAAATGAACAATTAAATATAATCTGAATTCATATTCAGAATACGCTAAAATCTTGGCCCATGAAGTTCACCATATTCTAAATATGAGTTTAGATCATATTTATTCATTCATTTTTTGGATCTGATCCCTTTTTCTATTGTAAGTTTGTTTTATGCATATGATGGATGTACAATTCCATCACTAAACTTTAGAAATTG